CTACTAGAGGGACGGGGAGAGGGAGGGATAGACAAGCCAATACGGATGGATAGACAGACAGATGCGGATGAGTGGGGATGCACTACATGCGTCGATTGGGTAAGTTCGTGTCTGTGGTTGGCCTATTGAAATGCCTGGCTGTCTCGTCGCTGGCTCTCTTTCTTGTCACCCTCTGTCGTCAGTGAATGTTGCTGTTCACGTCCATCTGTCTACCTGCCTGTCTGTCTGCCGGTGGATCTGTGTGTCCAACCCACTCACCCGTCGGCTAACAGGCTACTAGTACTGGCGGTGGCCTCTTATAACCTCGCCCTCTTGCTTGCATGCGATGTGCACCTATGTGTTCTGTCGGTCGGCTCCCTCCATTGCTGCTTGTGCTTTCCGTCTGTGTTTGATGTTGTTTTTGTTTGCCAGATTCTCTGTTTGTGCTCGAGTTATGCGATGTGTGGATGGATGGATTGGTGTGGGGCGCAGGGTATATACACATGGCACAGGGGCGGGGAGTGAGGGGTACGATTCTCGTTTCCGTACTTACACACGCATGTATACACACACATCCACGGATCACAATTATGGCTACTGGATGCTGGTAACTCGCCTGGTCGTGTATTGTATGGCATTGGCAGTTTTTCGCTGCATGCATACACACATACATGCACACATACATACATACATGCAAGGGATGATGCGATGCCGGTCACAGGCAATGATACACGCATACGATGCGCCGCAAGCCACGATCCGGTCGTATGCGTGTATGTCTGTGTGTATGTATGACGATGGATGGATGGCTGCCTGCATGCCAGATACATACATACAGATGTCACTGCATTGCTGCATGCACATCCATAATTCACGATGGGGTATTTGTCTTGCCACGTGCACACACACATTCCATTCACAGAGAAAGGGAAGGGGAGAAAAGTCAGGGAGGGAGAGAGCATGCACATACGCTTGCCATGGCTTGCTTTCAACGGTGAGTGGTAACCTTTTCTTGCTTCCCCCGATCATTGGGTCAGATATGACGGGAAGGGAGGTTTTGCACACACACACACACACACACGCACAGAGGGTCTTTTCTTATCCACTTCGGCTGTTGTGTCGG